ACTTGAAAGTTGTTCCTAAATGGGCTAAATGAGTCGATTGATTCTTACATTCAGCCCTGGTCTAATGAGGTTTCTGCTGGAGTCCTGGTTCTGCTCCATCTTGTGTTAGAATAATCTGAAACCCTGAAAGCTAAATTAAGCGCAGGTACCCCCACCTCCCATCTTGGGGTCACAGGCAATTGCTTCCAACCCTATCCCCTTGGTATCAAGGATGCCCACACAGCTCTGAACATTTGCTACCCTGCTGGGATGACCGCAAGCAATGCCCACTGCTGCCCCTTGCATCTGATGCCACCTTCCTTCCCCAGACCACAGCCACCGGCCCCCCTGATCACATACAAATCCACTCATCATGGATGACAGTTACCCCTTTCCCAGATACATGGACAATCATATCAGCCAGCAAAACCACAAAGCACTGGCACGGCACCAAACAACCCACATCTCTGCAATCTCCCAGGCTCTGACTTGCAACCTGCACAATGTGCAATTCTAAGCTGACTGTAGGACTTGTCAGTTTTTAGACAATCATCCATATATACAGACCTAGGGCTCCAGAAAAGTCAGTCTGCAGAGCGTTTTCTGTAAATTCCATTATAATTAGGTGAAGGATCACGCATAACATGCATGCAGTGGAGGGATGCCACACCATTTCCTCAGGGACTGGTTGACACCAGAAAACATTTCGAAAAAGGTGTGTTCCATGTGCACCACACGTGAACATCATGCCCTTTTGAGACGTGCACAGGTGGCAATTAATTGTTAATGGCTCCCCAAACGATCTTGCACATGCAAGCCACCAGACTACATGGTACCTCTTGTACCACGTACCATGGTTTGGTGTAGTTCAATCTGAAGAAGCAGTTTTTTTGCACTACTTTTTCCATTTTCCGGTACGTTTGGCAGCCCAATGAACTGAATAGGCGGTCAAAACTGGACTGCGCACCACAGTCACATCTATTCTCAATTATATGGCACCATCTTTTGTGTGTTTTACATACGAGTGTTTCTTTTTTTTTACATACGTCTTGTGTTGGCCACATACAGTCTGATTTTGTTTCAGGTGTTGATCAGTTCAGATCAGCAAAATTTACTGAAATTATCAAGCAGCCCTTCTGCTACCATTTACTGTGATAGTAATAGCCTGGCATCTACAAGGCAAAATTGTCAGGGGCCTAGGGCTCAGGGGGCAACAGATACAACTTTCATGCTCTTCCAGTAAACCAGGAAGATAGCTGAGTTGGTAAAAATTGAGCACCTACCTGTTACTTCACAACAGACGATGTACTTGTAGGCAGCTGGTGTCTAAGGAGGCAGCACCAGTATAGATAGTATGAGAAGAACGTAAAGTGGAGCTCCAGTCAAAGCTTAAATTTTTTTTTAAAAAGTCAGCAGGTACAAAAACAGCCACTCATCTGTCCCACAATCTCTGCAGCCGGTTTAATCTTCGCTCCCCGTTGCCAGCATCTTAAGTGTGATCACCCGGCTGTGACAGCTTGTGGCTTTACAACTGTGTGCACACTGCGCATGCGTGAGTAGCGATGTGCCTTGTGAATGGTCATGCAGTCTGTTGGGACCAGTCATGTGTCCCAGAAGACTACAGGGAGGAAGTGGGGGGACAACTCCCTCTTCCGATCACACGATTTTGACACATACCCTCCCCCCCCTCTCCGCTGCCCAAAGGTGCCTATTCCTCGTGGGGAGCGGGGGACCAGTACTTAAAGTGGAACTTCGACTTTTGGGTGGAGTTCCCTCTATAATTATAGATCCTGCCAGTAAAAACAATTCCTGTTGCAAGCTGATAACACCAAGCCGCTGTTTTGCAATTAGGAACAAGGCTGGCAGCCTGTAGGCAGGTGCAGTCTATTTTCTCCATTGCAGGTGGCGCTCAACCCAGCGGCAGTGCAATATGCTCCTCTATGGTTTCCTGGGCTACAGGAGAAGCGATTGTTGGATGCTGCCACCCCATGGCAGCCATCTTGGGTCAGGCAAAGTCTAGTTAAGACCCTGGTTCCTGGGTTTGTTTGCCCATTTTGCAAATGGGTAGTGTAGGGACAGGTCACTCTTCTGTCAGGGAAAGTTAATAGCAGTAGGGAATAGTTCCAGATGAGTAGGGACTGGATAGGGACACGCCATCCTTCCTGGAATCCTCCCATTTGGGTACAGACTGGCCAGGCCGAAATCCGCCCTCTGAGACAGACACTGTCAGCACGCCTGAGACCTGCTCCATTCCACATTGCTGTTACAACCTGTGAGTTTTCCAGGTGGGGTCCCTTCCTGCCGGGCTGTTTGTAAACTTGAATTTTGCCTTTAATACAAGCTCTGTCTCCTGCAACTGGACTCTGTGTATTTAGCAGCACCGCTCCACACTGCACCTCCCCACAAGCCTGCTGTGCAAGCTTCTTCAGTTGGTTGTTGGAGTGCCTATCTGATAGACCTGATGGCCAATTGAAGGAGCTCACATGCCAGGCTGAGAACACTGTTAACTGCAAGGTGGTGGCATACGCTGCCCATCTATGAGAGGAGTATGGCGTGTATGGAGGTGGGTGGTATGTGCAGGAGAGTGGTGCAGAGTGTATTGAGGTGGGTGGTATGTGCAGGAGATGAGTATGGCGTGTATGGAGGTGGGTGGTATGTGCAGGAGAGGAGTATGGCGTGTATGGAGGTGGGTTGTGTATGTGCAGAAGATTGAGGAGTGGTATGTAGGAGTGTATGTTGCAGGTGGGTGGTATGTGCAGGAGAGGGGTGGGTGTAGAGGTGGGTGTATGTGCAGGAGAGGGTGGCGGTATGGGTGGCATGTGCAGGAGAGGAGAGTGAGTGGCGGAGTGTATGTGGCGGGTATAGAGGTATGGTGGTGGGTGGTATGTCCAGGATAGGGGTACGGAGTGTATGGTGGCGGTGGTATGTCCAGGATAGGGGTATAGAGTGTATGGTGGGTGGTATGTGCAGGATAGGGGTATAGAGTGTATGGTGGTGGGTGGTATGTGCAGGATAGGGGTACGGAGTGTATGGTGGTGGGTGGTATGTCCAGGATAGGGGTATAGAGTGTATGGTGGTGGGTGGTATGTCCAGGATAGGGTGTATGGTGTTGGGTGGTATGAGGGGTATAGATGTATGGTGTTGGGTGGTATGTCCAGGATAGGGGTATAGAGTGTATGGTGTTGGGTGGTATGTCCAGGATAGGGGTATAGAGTGTATATGGTGTTGGGTGGTATGTCCAGGATAGGGGTAGAGTGTATGGTGGTGGGTGGTATGTCCAGGATAGGGGTATAGAGTGTATGGTGGTGGGTGGTATGTCCAGGATAGGGGTATGGAGTGTATGGTGGTGGGTGGTATGTGCAGGATAGGGGTACAGAGTGTATGGTGGCGGGTGGTATGTCCAGGATAGGGGTATAGAGTGTATGGTGGTGGGTGGTATGTACAGGATAGGGGTATAGAGTGTATGGTGGTGGGTGGTATGTACAGGATAGGGGTATAGAGTGTATGGTGGTGGGTGGTATGTACAGGATAGGGGTATAGAGTGTATGGTGGCGGGTGGTATGTCCAGGATAGGGGTATAGAGTGTATGGTGGTGGGTGGTATGTACAGGATAGGGGTATAGAGTGTATGGTGGTGGGTGGTATGTACAGGATAGGGGAATAGGTGTATGTATGTACAGGATAGGGGTATAGAGTGTATGGTGGTGGGTGTATGTACAGGATGAATAGAGTGTAGGTGTCTCCTTGCGGTGCCCCCCATCTCACATGATACCACAGTGCCCAGGTTGGCCATCCCTCCTGTCCATCCCTTGTCCCGGACCTGCCTGGGAGCACTCTGTTGCTGGGAGCACAGGAAAAAAATTGGGAGTGCCTGGGAATACTGGGGTGCTGGGATCACAGGTACAGAAGTGAGTGTGACTGGGGTGCTGGGATCTGTGGATGGAGTGCGCAGGAGCACAGGAGTGCAGGAGCTCTGGAGCCTCACTGATGTAAAGTGTAAGAAGATTGAGGAACACTGGGATTCACAGGAATGAGAGACACATTCAAAGAGATGTGAGGAGACGCGGGGTCCAGCAGCTAATGTAGTAGTACACGGGTTCACACTGATGCGGTGTGGCACATCACATGTGATTCGCACAGGAACCGCAAAGTATTCCTGTGACGTATTCCTGTGCAAATCACATGCGATTTCTGTGTGGTGCAATTTGAGCCATACACTTTGTATGACTCAAAATCGCACCGCATCCGCACCAAAAAAGTGCAGGACCCTTTTTTTATCCGCACCAGAATCGGATCGCACGGGTATTCTCGCCCAGGCGATCCGATTCTGCATATCGCACCGCGTTTTACAAACTGATTTCGGGGTGTCGTTAACTTAACCTCTTTACGGTAATGCGTGGCCTCCCGACATCTGGGCCTAGACGCCAAGCGGCCGCACATTTGCGTTCTATTGAAAAAGAACATATGTGCTGAGAGTGCGCGCCCTGCGCACTCCCAGCACACATGTCCGGTACTCTTTCAATCGGGACCTTTCCCGAACATGACTCTAAACCCCGCCCCGCCTCTCGACTTCTGAAACCCTTACAGGGCTGGGAGGCGCCAATGAGTTAAAATACACATCAGCACAGGGGCGGACTGATAACTCATGGGGCCCCCGGGCAACAGGGGATCATGGGGCCCCTGTGTCCTTGCCCAAACTCAAAAAAGCCTATGAAAAAGGTACCAGGGGCATCTCATGGGGCCCCCTACTGACCCCGGGCCCTTGTGCAATGCCCGAGTTTCCAAATGGTCAGTCCACCCCTGCACCCGCAGCAGTTCATATGAACGGGATGCGATTATAATGCGGAGCGGAAATTGCACAGAAACCAATGCGAATTCCACACCATTCTGATTGGGGCAGCGAACCCAAAAACTGCTGGAGCAGGTGAGGGTGACACTGCTGTTTGAACCGACCAATTTAAAACACTCATATTTAATAACCAGGGGCGGACTGACCTTTTGGAAACTCGGGCACTGCCTGAGGGCCCGGGGTCAGTAGGGGGCCCCATGAGATGCCCCTGGTACCTTTTTCATAGGCGTTTTTGAGTTTGGGCAAGGACACAGGGGCCCCATGATCCCCTATTGCCCGGGGGCCCCATGAGTTGTCAGTCTGCCCCTGTTAATAACTAATACTAAAAAAATATACATAATACTAAAAAATATACAGACCGCCAAGAAGGGGAACCCACATATTCCTAATGAACCCCTTAAAATTGCTACATCAACGTGATTGTTAAAAAAACATGAGGAGCAAATAAATAAAACCTCAAGACACTCATCTTACTACAAATTACAAAACAAAATATAACAGATATAAAAAAGAAAAAATGACCAACTATGCAAAATAAAATACAAAAATGAATGTGACCGCAGCAAGGAAAATTCAGCGAGCAAAGTAAGCCCAGCATGGTCGAGTAAGAGCGAAGACTGTACAGAACGGAGTGACGGGCTGCCAAAGACCTCTCCGGCCCTTTACCACACACCTAACACGAGCCCCCGGCCCCCCGGCCAATGAGACGGCTCCCTCTGGGCCAGACCTGTGCATGGGCCTGCCCCTCACTTGATGTAATTATACCTGGATCTTGTCCCATTGTCACAGCCAGCGTTTCTTGCATCAGGTCTGAACTGGGGCAAAGTTGAATGTGTTTTTTGCTGAGCAGCGCAGGAATCTGGAAACATGTTTTCTCCAATCCAAGACCTTTGCAACGGTTATAAGGGGCAGAAAATACATTAAAGCGGTTTATGTCAATGGACGATGGTTTTATGTCAGCCTGGCAGTAAACAATAAGTACGTTCAATCGGTTTTTACGACATGGTGTCATCAGCTTCCTTGTGCAATATATTTTTTATTTGTATGTCGCAACTCTTCATTTGAAGTGTACCTCTGACCGGAACGTTTTCTTCCAATATTGGGTGGAGAGTGGAAGGGTTAGAGCCCCTGTTAGGGTTTTATGGCTGTCTGTCTCTGCTGGGGAGATTCAGCCTCTCTGTCTTGGTGAAAAAGTGATAGGGAATCCAAAACTTACAAGTGACACCAAAACAGGAAGTGAGGGGAAATCTTCCAATGGGGACCCCTGTTCTGGTGACAACTCTATAGAGGGGATTTCCACTCACTGGGATAAATCTTCCAATGGGGAAGTCTTCTTCTTTGTTGGAGTAGTTTTGTTTTTTTTACATCTAGTATCCTAGATTGTGTAGCGGATGCAGCAGTCCTTATTTATGTTTTATTGGCTAGTGCAGGGGGTCTCCAAACTTTCTAAACAAAGGGCCAGTTAACTGGCTTTCAGACTTTAGGGGGCCAGACTGTGACCATCGGGAGTAGAAATTGTCCTGCGTCATTGGTGTCAATGGGAAGAATAGTGCCCCGTTGCTGGTTTCAGTGGGAGGAATAGTGCCCCATCGTTGGTGTCAGAGGGAGGAATAGTGCCCCATCGTTGGTGTCAGAGGGAGGAATAGTGCCCCATCGTTGGTGTCAGAGGGAGGAATAGTGCCCCATCATTGGTATCAGTGGAAGGAATAGTGCCCCATCATTGGTATCAGTGGGAGGAATAGTGCCCCATCGTTGGTGTCAGTGGGAGGAATAGTGCCCCATCATTGGTATCAGTGGGAGGAATAGTGCCCCATCATTGGTGTCAGTGGGAGGAATAGTGCCCCATCATTGGTATCAGTGGGAGGAATAGTGCCCCATCATTGGTGTCAGTGGGAGGAATAGTGCCCCATCATTGGTATCAGTGGAAGGAATAGTGCCCCATCATTGGTATCAGTGGGAGGAATAGTGCCCCATCGTTGGTGTCAATGGGAAGAATAGTGCCCCATCGTTGGTGTCAATGGGAATAGTGCCCCATTGTTGGTGTCAGTGGGAGGAATAGTGCCCCATCGTTGGTGTCAGTGTAAAGAATATAGTGCCCCATCGTCGGTGTCAATGGGAAGAATAGTGCCCCATCGTCGGTGTCAATGGGAAGAATAGTGCCCCATCGTTGGTGTCAATGGGAAAAATAGTGCCTCGTTGTTGGTGTCAGTGGGAGGAATAGTGCCCCAGCGTTGGTGTCAGTGGGAGGAATAGTGCCCCATCATTGGTGTCAATGGGAAGAAAAGTGCCCCGTTGTTGGTGTCAGTGGGGGGGGATAGTTCCGCATGGTTTGTTTCAAACGAGAGGAATAGTGACTGTTGTTGATGTCAGTAGCAGGAATTATGCCCCCTTGTTGGTATCAGTGGGAGGAATAGTGTCTTGTATCAGTGTATCAGCCGTGCGGGCCACGTTTTGCACGGACACGAGAGCCCATTCATTTGAATGGACTCCCATGCCCATGACATGCAGGGAAGAAGTCCCGGCACTTCTTCCAAAAAATGCAGCCGAGGTTCCCAGTACGGTTGCGTTTTCCAGTGCAGGCGGCGCGCCATTAGAAATAATGGCACCCGCCTGCGGGTCCGCATTTCTCTGTGCGGGTGGTGCGGCTGCACGGATTTTCTTGTGGATCCGCAGCGACACCACCCGCACAGATGTGAACCTAGGGTAAATGTCGAGGGACATTTTTGGGGGATTTTTTATTTTTTTAACAAAGTACTTGGGTGTCTTTATTTCTAGGTGACAACTTGAAAGTGATGTGGCAGCTCCATAGCCACTGATCACTTTCACAGAGCCAGCAGCGCGGTGGCCCTCCCCCCGCCGATCTCACATGCAAAAAATGAAACCAGAAGTGATGTCACTTCTGGTTTTAGAGGCTCCATTTCCTGGCCAGTACAGCCAGGGGACACATCTAAGCAAGCTGATCTGTGCTTGGTTAGATGGTGTGAAGGGAACAGAAACACTGGGGTCTACTAGACCACTAATGCCTCCATAAAGAGCGTCTGTGCCTGCCATCTGTGGGGGTTTATTAACCCCTTGTGATAGCAACCAAGTAAAAAAAAAAAAAATTAAAATAAAAGCGCCAGAGCTTGTGAAAACTAAAGTGTCACCTATGGTGATTTTTGTGCACCGTAGTTTTTGGCGATATCACAGCGGCAAGCAATTTTAAGACATGGAATGTTTGGTATCTATTTGCTATATGCAGCCTCATCTTTTCTATTTTAACCAAAAATTGGTATTATATTGTGTGTTTTTGCACTTAAATTAATCTTATCATATTTTTTCCCTGAAAATAAACATTTGCGCAAATATCATGTGACATGAAAAATTTGCAACTATCGCCTTTTTTTATTCTGCTTCTACTCTGCTTTCAGAAAATATATAATGCTCTGGGGGTTTAAGTCATTTTATTACCAAAAATTACGATTTGTACATTGATAAAAAAAAAAAAAAAAAAAAAAAATTCTCTGGAGCTGAACTGGCTAATAGTATAAAGAGCCCTATTTAACAATATAAAGAACTTTGTTTAAAAAAATAAAGAACCCTATTTAACAATATAAAGAAATCTTATTTAATAATATAAAGAAATCTATTAATAATTAATTTATTTAATATAAAGAAATTTATTGATATAAAGAAATCTATTTAATAATATAAAAAAAATCTATTTAATAATATAAAGAAATTTATTTAATAATATAAAGAACCTTCATTTAATTGATATAAAGAAATCTATTTAATAATATAAAGAAATCTATTTAATAATATAAAGAAATTTATTTAATAATATAAAGAACCTTCATTTAATGATATAAAGAAATCTATTTAATAATATAAAGAAATCTATTTAATAATATAAAGAAATCTATTTAATAATATAAAGAACCTTCATTTAATGATATTAAAGGACCCTGTTTATTTAAAATAAAGAACTCAATTTATTAGTATAAGGAACTCTGTTTTATTAAGAAACCCTTTTTAATCATATTGATGTAGCATAATTTTTTATTTTGCAATATCATCTTAATTTTAATTATCTGTCTATGTATTTCTGGAAAAAAAAAATAGATGCTGGCTTATAAATAGCTCGTGGTGTTGGCAACAAATCTTCTACCAATTTAGTGCATTGCAGGCTTTGGACGAACCCGACTGCTATATATTCTGTCGCAGTGTAATTCTACGTTAAAGCAAGTTAAACTGTAACAATGTCAAGGAGGAAAAGCAGTTTGTCTAGGCGAGTTTTTGTTTCATCGGAAATATAAAAATTCTATTCGGTCTCTTTATGTATCCATAATATGAACATTTTGCTGTGGATACAATGGTAGCAAATGGAAAATCAGACTGATGAATGAATTTTTTTTTTCTTTAATGGAATAAGTTGCAAAAAATAAACAAATATCTTATAAAGTGAAGTTGGAGTTGTACATATTTGGGGCCCCTACAGCCAGAATGTGAAAGCATGCCCAACGCAGTGCACGCTCTTACATAGATGCAAGGTCCGAATTCCCTCTGGTCAATGAGGTCTGTATCCCCCCACCCCACCCCACCAACAATTTTTCCAGGTCCCTAGTCCAAAGACATAATTCCACAAGCACTTCCATGGCACCCTGACCTCACTTTTGTAAAATGTCAGATTCTGCGCATTTATGGACATCAGTGTATAATTGAAGAGAAAATTGTTGGCAGAAAGGGCAATAGAGAGACTTACAGGGTCTTCTCTGCCATAATAAAAAAAAATCATAAGAGCTTAAAATGGTAGTAAACTCGTTTTCCAAAAAAAAAAAAAAAAGAGGTTTTCCCTGCATCGCTTACTAGCATATTATGAAAAACTTGCCTTAGAACGAAGCCCAATGTCACTGTTGCTTCCATCTTTACCCGAGCTTCCTTCCAGGTTCACAGGCTGTGGCTTCCTTTCCTGGTTCACAGGCTGTGGCTTCCTTTCTGGTTCACAGGCTGTGGCTTCCTTCCTGGTTCACAGGCTGTGGCTTCTTTCCTGGTTCACAGGCTGTGGCTTCCTTCCTGGTTCACAGGCTGTGGCTTCTTTCCTGGTTCACAGGCTGTGGCTTCCTTCCTGGTTCACAGGCTGTGGCTTCTTTCCTGGTTCACAGTTAGGCTTTCTTCCTGGTTCACAGGCTGTGGCTTCCTTCCTCATTCACAGGCTGTGGCTTCCTTCCTCATTCACAGGCTGTGGCTTCCTTCCTCATTCACAGGCTGTGGCTTCCTTCCTCATTCACAGGCTGTGGCTTCCTTCCTGGTTCACAGGCTGTGGCTTACTTCCTCATTCACAGGCTGTGGCTTCTTTCCTGGTTCACAGGCTGTGGCTTCCTTCCTGGTTCACAGGCTGTGGCTTCCTTCCTGGTTCACAGGCTGTGGCTTCTTTCCTGGTTCACAGGCTGTGGCTTCCTTCCTGGTTCACAGGCTGTGGCTTTTTTCCTGGTTCACAGTTAGGCTTCCTTTCTGGTTCACATGCTGTGGCTTCCTTCCTGGTTCACAGGCTGTGGCTTCCTTCCTCATTCACAGGCTGTGGCTTCCTTCCTCATTCACAGGCTGTGGCTTCCTTCCTCATTCACAGGCTGTGGCTTCCTTCCTGGTTCACAGGCTGTGGCTTACTTCCTCATTCACAGGCTGTGGCTTCTTGGTTCACAAGGCTGTGGCTTCTTTCCTGGTTCACAGGCTGTGGCTTCCTTCCTGGTTCACAGGCTGTGGCTTCTTTCCTGGTTCACAGGCTGTGGCTTCCTTCCTGGTTCACAGGCTGTGGCTTCTTTCCTGGTTCACAGGCTGTGGCTTTTATATTTTTTTTTTCCTGGTTCACAGGCTGTGGCTTTTTTTTTCCTGGTTCACAGCATTTCCTTCCTTTCTGGTTCACAGGCTGTGGCTTCCTTCCTGGTTCACAGGCTGTGGCTTCCTTCCTCATTCACAGGCTGTGGCTTCCTTCCTCATTCACAGGCTGTGGCTTCCTTCCTGTTTCACAGGCTGTGGCTTACTTCCTCATTCACAGGCTGTGGCTTCTTTCCTGGTTCACAGGCTGTGGCTTCCTTCCTCATTCACACAGGCTGTGGCTTCCTTCCTCATTCACAATCTGTGGCTTCCTTCCTCATTCATAGGCTGTGGCTTCCTTCCTCATTCACAGTCTGTGGCTTCCTTCCTCATTCACAATCTGTGGCTTCCTTCCTCATTCACAATCTGTGGCTTCCTTCCTCATTCACAGGCTGTGGCTTCCTTCCTGGTTCACAGGCTGTGGCTGCTTGAATGGCTGAGCGTCTGATCTACGGTCACAGCACACAGCTCTGAAGGAACAACATGGGTATGCCATTCCTTCAGAGCGCATGCGCTGGTATTGTCACTGGTTGCTGCTTCGTAGAATATCTCCTAAATGGTTGCATTAACCACTTCCCGTCCGGCCGCAGAAGTTCACATCGGCTCAAATTTGGCGCCAAACTGCCTTTATAAGGAAACCCTGCACTGCTCTCAGGTGCTGGTTCATCTCTGGCTCCCCAGTACCTTATTCCTGTTCCTGTGCTACTGTGACCTGTGATTTCCTGTTACCGACTCGACTTGCTCCTGGACCTGTCTTCTCTGCTTAAACCCTGATCTGACCTCAGCTTGGTTAACGGATATCCTCTCTTGCTCCTCTGTGTATGACCTCAGCTATCCCATCTGGCTATGTCTGCTTTGATCTCCACCTGGTACCAGACCTTGGCTTTGAACCGGCTATCCAGTAATCCTCTGTTCCCCGTAAGGGCTTGCGTACCTCGCACAGGCGCCACCTGTCTGCAGACCTCATCTCAGTGCATCAGCTGTGCTCCTGGGTGGACCACCAACAAACAAACCCCTACAGGCGACCTGTGCCACTTTGGGCCTGACTCCCGCTGTCCCACTCTCAGAGGAGTCTGGAACTTAGCCGCAAGGGAAGCCCTCTCTCCATTGGCCTCTCACACCAGGTATGTAACAAATTGGTGTTCAACCCAGGACTGGAATCCCCGATGTCACTGTAGACACATGCATTGTTCTGTGTTTACATATAAAATAGGATGGTGAATTCATATATAATACAAAGTGAAAGGAAGAAACACGCCTGTAGTTTGCCTGGGCTTGTCAAGCTCATTCATTCACATATTTATTCCCTGTTTGTCAGACCACTCCTGAGCGCTGTAGTTTGCCTGGGCTTGTCAAGCTCTCATCCATTCACATATTTATTCCCTGTTTGTCAGACCACTCCTGAGCGCTGTAGTTTGCCTGGGCTTGTCAAGCTCATTCATTCACTTTCAGTTCAATGGGCTGCCCTACACGCAAAAATCGCATCAATAACATGCTACGTTAAGGTGCGTTGCGGTGAACTTAAAGCGGAACTAAAGTCTTGCTGTCAAAAAACTGCGATCAGGCGTGTAAGAGTGGGGGCCGGGTAGTGGGTACCCGGGGGAGGAAGGAAAGATACACGGAGATCCGAGATTGCAAGGAAATGTATTACCGTTCCATCAACACGGTAATAGAGTCTATGCGGCAGCACCGAACTGGCAGAAACACAGATAACTACGCAGCACTTGCGGAAAGCGATGCTCAGGTGCCAGCAGCGGTTAGCAAGCGGTGACGCAACAAGGCACTAGTAGCGGCGTCCAGTGTCTATTCTGTCCTTCCTCCTCTGGAACCTCTCCCTACGCTGGTCACACTCTCCCTCTCCAGTGGGTTCCTGTCCCTGACCTAACCACATGCAAGCTGCAGACAGCCATTGCTTTTTATAAGTACCGCCCTCACTAAAGATGGCTGAGGAGGTCAACCGGGGGCAGCAGCACCCTGCTAACACGTAGTGGGGCCTAAGAGGAAGCTTACATCACCGGCACGGTCCCCGTATGCCAGGAAGATGACTCCTGTGCATGTGCAGTAGTCATGTCATCCTGCGCCAACCAATGAAGACGACCGAAACTAGGCTCCCAGCACAAGATGCCGGCACTGGCATGGGACGGGGACTGTTAGGAAGGTAAGTTAGGCTCCGCTTTAAGAATTGGCACCGCTACACGCCTGCGAGCATTTTTTTGCAAGTTGCGTCTCATATTGCACAATGTGAGCTTAGCTTAAATGATTAAAATAGTAAAAATAAAATGAACACAGTATATGTAGTCCTGTGTAATTCCAAGAAAAAAAAAAAAGAAATGGAAGTCTAAAATAAAAGATGATAAATCCTATATTAATAGTTTGGTGAAATTCCAATAAAAAGGAAAAAGCTTAGATAAAAAAAAAAAGATAATTCATTTATAAAAGTTCTGTGTAATTCCAATAAAATAAGGAAATGTAAACTTAAAACAAAAAAATGATCATTCCTATATACGTAAATATTATTCTGTGCAATTCCAGCTTTAAAAAACATGTAAGCTATAAATAAATAAAAAAAATCCTATATTAATAGTTTTGTGTAATTCCAATAAAAAAATGTAAGCTAAAAAAAAAGAAAATCATTCCTATATAAATAGTTTTGTGTCATTCCAATAAAAATAAATGTAAGCTGTAAAAGTTTTGTGTCTCCAATAAAAAAAATGTAAGCTAAAAAAAAAAGAGAGAGAAAAGAATTCCTATATAAATTGTAATTACAATAAAAACATTTAAATGTAAGCTTTAAAAAAAAAAGGATAATTCTTATATAAATGGTTCTATGTAATTCCCATAAAAAAAGGAAATGTAATCTTAAAATAAAAAAAAATTACCATTCCTATAAAAAAGATTTTTTTTTAATAAATCACCCCACTGAGAATTTTTATGTTGGGGAAAAAAAAAGAGGTATTTTTTTGTTATTGTGTCCCGTGGCCCCAAGCGATAATAAGATGGTACACAGTGTATTCTGTATTCCACTTCCTGATCAATCATTAGCTCTTAAAGGAATTTTGTTGATCAGAAACTCTCTTACGACAAAACTTGTTTGCAGGTCTGAGAGTCGGAACACATCAATATGACGAAGGGACAGACCTGCGAGGGGGGGGGGGGGGAGAGAGGGGGAACTGGAGGCGGAGCTTGTGTTACTTGTTGCTATTTAAAGAACCGGCTTCTTACCTGATGTCATCAGAGAAAAACTGACCTACTTGACTTCAAAGAAGAAGGAAGAATTACAGCTTTCTACTACTTTTTCATTGTAAGTACAGAAATTTAATTTACACTTTAACTCTTTTGTGCTTTGATGGTGATTTTTTAAAGAATTGTTTTCAAGTTTTGCATATTTCTGTACTTTGTGTATTGTGTGTTTGCTTGCAATATAAATTGTTTTTCCCTGTACATGGTATAAATCTCTCTGAATTAATTGCTAAATTGTGATTTTGTTAGGTGTACCTGTCTATTGTTAAGTGTGCAGCCATTTCCATGGTATGCTACACTAGCACTGGGCGAACGCAGGACCTATCACTAGGACCTGACAGCGTGACTGAAACTGGAGGTACCGCTTGACTCCAGATTCTTTGACATGGCCAGGTCCTAGAAAATTGATTGGCTGGACAGTGGTTTGGCTATCAATATGGGCTGCCCTGCTGTGTTTGAGTGAGTGGTGTGGTTTCAGGGATTCAGTGGTCTAAAGCAACCCTTGCATTGGGGTCAGTAGGAAAATGTCCGTTACATTGGCAGTTAATGGGAAAAATGCACCTTACATTGGTGGTCATTGGGAAGAATGTCCCTTACATTGGTGGTCAGTGGGAAGAATGTCCCTTACATTGGGGGTCAGTGGGAAGAATGTCCCTTACATTGGGGGTCGGTGGGAAGAATGTCCCTTACATTGGGGGTCGGTGGGAAGAATGTCCCTTACATTGGGGTCAGTGGGAAGAATGTCCCTTACATTGGTGGTCAGTGGGAATAATGCCCCTTACATTGGTGGTCGGTGGGAAGAATGTCCCTTACATTGGTGGTCAGTGGGAAGAATGTCCCTTACATTGGTGGTCAGTGGGAAGAATGTCCCTTACATTGGTGGTCAGTGGGAAGAATGTCCCTTACATTGGTGGTCAGTGGGAAGAATATCCCTTACATTGGGGGTCAGCGGGAAGAATGTCCCTTACATTGGTGGTCAGTGGGAAGAATGTCCCTTATATTGGAGATCAATGGGAAGAATGTCCCTTACATTGGTGATCAGTGGGAAGAATGCCCCTTACATTGGGGGTCAGTGGAAAGAATGTCCCATACATTGGTGATCAGTGGGAAGAATGTCCCTTACATAGGTGTTCATTGGGAAGAATGCCCCTTACATTGGTGATCAGTGGGAAGAATGTCCCTTACATAGGTGTTCATTGGGAAGAATGCCCCTTACATTGGTAGTTAATGGGAAGAATGTCCCTTACATTGGTGGTCAGTGGGAAGAATGCCCCTTACATTGGTGGTCAGTGGGAAGAATGCCCCTTACATTGGTGGTCTTACTACTAGTGGTAGATTAACCTGCCATCTTCCACACAGTAGTGTCACCAGGAAGGTGTCATGGGAATGTAACACCATCTTCTGGCTTTGCAGTGGGCGTTGTGGAACTGGTTGGGAAGCTACAAAAAGACAATATCAATTGTTTACAGACATTCGTATCTAAATTAAAAAATATTTGATATCTTATATATTGCCAATGTAGTTTTTAAACACTCATGATGTTAAACCTTCTATTTCTCCAAAGGTTAACAAAGAATTCCTGACATCAAGATGCCATCCCAGCAGAAGACAGAGCTAGAGATTACAGGAATTGTGACTCATGGAGATCTGAACAGCTTAAGTTCCGATGTGGTCAACTTTATCGTTTCCAATGCTCGCATCTGCTTGCCAGATAACATCCACATCTGTGATGGCTCCGAAGAAGAGAACAAGAAGCTCATCCACCAGATGGAAGAGACTGGCATGATCAAGAGGCTGCCCAAATATGAGAACTGGTACGTACGTCTATGCTATTGTAGGCTGGGAAAAATGTGAGAATTGATTTGGAATTCTAGCCATAAAACGTATAGATGCATTTGCCAAGTAAATTTTTTTCCTTTTCACCATATCAGTTGGCTGGCTCGTACGGATCCCCGTGATGTGGCAAGAATTGAAAGCAAAACTGTGATCGTTACTCAAGAACAAAGAGATACGGTGCCAGTTGCCAAAAGTGGACTTAGCCAACTAGGTCGCTGGATGTCCGAGGATGATTTTGAGAAAGCATTCAAGTCCAGATTCCCTGGTTGCATGAAAGGTACGGCGATGGGGTCCCTAAACGACCCACTGAACTGTGCTTTTAATACGACTTATTTTAGGTAATCTCAATGCTCAAGCAACCAGCTCTGTTGTTAATGTCTATATGTTTTTGGGGTTTTTTTTGGCAGGTCGTACAATGTATGTCATCCCATTCAGCATGGGTCCTATAGGCTCCCCACTTTCAAAGCTTGGCATTCAGCTGACGGATTCACCCTATGTAGTGGCCAGTATGAAAATCATGACCCGAATGGGAACGGTTGTCTTGGATGCCCTTGCAGAAGGGGAGTTTGTCCGATGCCTTCATTCGGTTGGCTGCCCTTTACCACTAAAAAGTGAGTCAGCGAGACTGTGCTAAAAATTTATACATATATATTGGATATGAAGCAAAGAAAAAGGTCTCAGGCAAAATATTAATTCCTGTATATGTGTTTCACAGAACCACTGGTGAACAACTGGGCGTGTAATCCAGAGCTGACACTCATTGCACACATCCCCGAACGCAGAGAGATCATCTCCTTTGGAAGTGGCTATGGTGGAAATTCTCTCCTGGGGAAGAAATGTTTCGCTCTCAGAATTGCCTGTCGGATTGCGAAAGAAGAAGGTTGGCTGGCAGAGCACATGCTGGTACGAAAAAAAAAACTCCAATCACAAAATTTGTAACTTAAGCCTCTAAAGGAATCCTGTACTCAGAAAATACATAGGTTGTCATTGCTTAAATCCTAGCACCAAATTCAGTGTACCCCAGATTCTCCCAGAAATTCTGGGAAAAAAAGATCTTTTTTAAAGTTCTAATTTTCTAGATCTTATTGATCCAAAAACCTTAACACTTCAAGTCACTAATCCTGAAAAGAATCCTCTGATCATATTGGCTGCATGGTCACGGATTCCGGAAGTATTGAGTTCGGATGGCCACGGCACTAGTATTTTCAAAAGGCAGCTAACAATGGAACCCTCCATATTTTCTCTGTATTTTCTTTAAATATTATCTACTTTCACAAAGCCATATATTGGAATTATTTAAATATAATATCAGATTGTCCTGATCTTTGAACTGAAGACCTAAGATTTAATGGCCTTTGTCATAAGTACTATATTTATATTGTATTTCTGTTCCTTGATCCTCACAGATTTTGGGAATCACCAATCCTGAGGGACAGAAGAAATATTTTGCTGCTGCTTTCCCAAGTGCTTGTGGGAAAACCAACTTGGCCATGATGCGGCCCGCACTGCCAGGATGGAAGATTGAGTGCGTTGGTGATGACATTGCTTGGATGAAGTTTGACGATCAAGGTAATAATTTAAAAGGTCATAATAAAAGTTGACATCTACAGTTAATAAAAAAGTAGATGCAGATCATTCACCATAAGTTTTAGCATTTATAGCAGTGGTGCTCAACTAACTTGATGTAGGGGGCCTCATATGTGGCCTCCTGCATCGCCAAATGGCTGTATATAATAATCAGATAATGTAATGCTACAGAAAAATGCAACTGGAGATAGTAAAAAAACTGCAGGTATGCTATAGGAGATGCTCATGTACTATACGAGCAGGGGCGGACTGACCATTTGGAAACTTGGGCACTGCCCGAGGGCCCGGGGTGAGTAGGGGACCCCATGAGATGCCCCTGGTACCTTTTTCATAGGGTTTTTAAGTTGGAACAAGGACACAGGGGCTCCATGATCCCCTATTGCCCGGGGGCCCCATGAGTTCTCAGACCACCCCTGTATACGAGTATACTATATGACATTGGGGACATTCTTCAGGACACAGTCATAGGCTTGGGACACATTACATGAGAATGCTAGAGATCACTGCTATTGTAGCCCCTTTATATATCAGTACTTGCACATATGTGCTCCCTACTGCTCGCTTACAAATTACTGGTGCCACATTTTAAACTTCTCTCAGCCATAAAAAAGATCAGAAGGGAAAAAAAAACAAGAATAGACATTACAAAAAAAAAGTAACATAGTGTGGAAGAAATAGATCAAACCATTTACTAAAAGCAGTCGAAAGAATACCTTTCCTTTGCTGGCTTGAGTAAGTACCAAAACACAGACACTTCAGGAGGCTGCACAATAAGTGCCAAAGGGATGCATTCGGCTCCCATACTGCAGGTTGGGCATTAGGGGTTTATAGAATCTAAAAACAAAAAAAAAAATGAAAATAATAATTTTTTACTTAAAAAAAAAATTGTGTGCATATTTGAAAATGTACCATATAATGTTCCTGATCTATTTTGTCCTCAGCGCGTCAATCTTGATGCATATTAATTGGAAATATAATTGATTTTGTTAGGCAATCTAAGAGCTATTAACCCTGAAAATGGATTTTTTGGCGTGGCTCCTGGAACCTCTGTGAAGACCAACCCGAACGCTATGGAGACAATCCGAAAGAACACCATATTCACCAACGTAGCAGAGACCAGTGATGGTGGAGTCTACTGGGAAGGCATGGACGTGAAACTAGAACCAGGAATCACTTTAACTTCATGGAAAAACAAAGAATGGACACCTGAGGATGGTAAGATCATCAGGGGAGCAGAACTTTGAAAATAACACATTTTATACACCAGAATGTTTTGGCCCCATTCTACCATAAAATCTGAAGATCATTATCAACAAGCGTAATTCTTGTTCAAGCATGTCATAATTTTAATGTAGTCCACTAATCATGTTTAATCCACAATATTTATACACCTTTCTTAAATATGGGACTTTAAAAAATGGGTAAACAGTCCAAAAACGTTACTCACAAACACTAGTATGATTCATCCTCATATTACAAAGATCTGAACAACTAATTTTAACAAACTTTTCATTGTTCCAGGTGAACCTTCTGCCCATCCTAACTCTCGTTTCTGTACGCCGGCCGGCCAATGCCCGATCATTGACTCCGAGTGGGAATCTCCGGAAGGTGTTCCTATTGAAGGCATCATCTTTGGTGGTCGTAGACCTGCAGGTATGTAATCTAAAGCTAATAAATTTAACTGAACATGTAAGAAAAAACAAAACAGGAGGAAAAAAAAATCTTCATATCAGTAGATTTGTTGTAGAATGCTTGATTTGTTTACGGTTTTATGTAACCAGTTTCTCAAATTAATTTCAAGGTGTTCCACTGGTTTATGAGGCAATGAGTTGGCAACATGGAGTCTTTATTGGGTCAGCAATGAGGTCTGAAGCAACAGCTGCAGCTGAGCATAAAGGTGAGTAACCATGAAATTGTAAAGCGCTGCACAAACTGTTGGCGCTACATAAATCCTGTACAATAATAATAATAATAATAATTCAGCCTATTTCAGACACCCTAAAAGTATCATATAATAAATACTAACTATGGTGGCCAAAGGGAGTATTTGAAAACGTATGTTTTTTTTCTTTTGTAGGCAAGGTCATCATGCATGATCCTTTTGCCATGAGGCCTTTCTTTGGATACAACTTTGGCCGGTACCTTGCCCATTGGCTCAGTATGGAGCACCTCCCATCTGCTAAACTGCCTAAGATCTTCCATGTCAACTGGTTCAGAAAAGACAAGCAAGGAAACTTCCTGTGGCCTGGTTATGGAGAAAACATTCGTGTTCTTGAATGGATGTTCAACAGGATCAACGGGAGAAGACTGCGCCAAGAAGACACCCATTGGCTACATCCCCGCTGAAGGCTGTCTGAACCTGAAAGGGCTCGGAGACATTAACATGGAAGAGTTGTTTGAAATCTCCAAAGAATTCTGGGAAGATGAAGTCGAGGACATTAGAAAATATTTGGATGACCAAGTCAATGCTGACTTGCCTTACGAAATAGAGGGGGAACTAGATTCTCTGGAGGAGAGGTTGAAACAGCTGTGAAGGGGGTAGAGTAGGTGGATATAGAGCCTTTCATTTCAGTTTTTAGAGAAGGACTGTTTTCTAAAATGAGAACCTGGGTCCCCAGTTAAATAAATAAGCACGTGGTTCTTATTCTGTACCACATAATCTTGGGCTTTTCGATGTACCGGGGGTGACCTAAGAAGTAGTACGTACTGTATCCTGTCTTCCTTTCTTTCTATATTCCTTCTCTGCATTATGTATTGTAAAGAAGAGAGGATGGAGTGAAAAGGAGGACAAAAAAATATCCTAAAGCTTGTAAAAGGAAAACTTGAATATAATAAAGTGGAGAGAGGAGATGAGCTAGCATCTTGAGGGTTCTGAAGGAGCATAGCCCTTTCAGGAGAATTTATGAGAAAGTATATTTTTCTTGTGTTTGCCTACTTTATATATTTTATACCTAACTATATATTCTATGTATATATTTGAATACTGTATGTCATTATTTTCTCAAAGTTGTTAAGTGCAAAATAAATAGTATTTTTTAAATAAAATAATAAAAGACTCGGTGTTTGATGTTTTGGGAAGCAGAGGTTAAATAAAGAGCAGAATACCTGGTCACTGCATTATACCGCACACATAGTACATCTGAAGTCAAAGTAGATAAAAAATAGTAGCAATGGGCTGAACAAGACAAAACTTGGTTTCCCCATCCGTGGAAGCATGGATGAATCTGCAGTGTCCTATTGTGTTCAGACAGCCAGCACCAGTGGTTGTCAGTATACCGAAATGGTGACTGTAACTGATTGGCTGCAGGTGCTATTCGGCTGAGAATTTTTCACCAGTTCTCAGTTGTTAAATTGACTTTTGGTGAGCCAGGTGGTGTCAACGAGGACTTCAAGGAATTCCTGGTGAATTGGCAAAAATTAAATTTGTGTATGGCCAGTTTAAGTTGTGGTGACCTGTATCCCTGGGTTTGATCCATACTTAGAATACTACCTGTGTGGAGTTTGTATGTTCTCCCTGTGTCTACATGGCTTCTCTATGGGTGGTCCAACTTCCTCCCAAACTGGCTCTTGTGTGTGTATAAATTTCTAGAAATGGGAATCTGTGTGTTGGGTGCATCGACAAGGTAGGACATATAGATGGGACAGATAATTGAGATTCTAAGGCAGCCAATAGATGATTCGATTTTATTTACTCCCACCATGCATGGAAAGATAGAAAATTTCTAGATTAAATAATCAACACAGTCAGAGTTGATGGGGGAATCCCTCCCGCAGCGCTTTTGTGTTCTGCCAGCCGGCAGTAATTACATGTGAAAAATCCAACAGGCTGGTTGAACCTATGTTGATCGATGGATCGACTTGGGTACAATCAGCCTGCCCATACATGGATCAAAATTTGGCCAGTCCCTGCTTAACCAGCCAAATTTAGATCCAAGTATGGCCAAGTTTAAGACAGTCATTCTCAACCAGGGTTCCTTCAGGGGTTGCTAGAGGGTTCCTGGAGCTGTGGCTGATTGACCTCCAATTTGACGATACTTGGACAGTTCCAGGGTCAACGCCACTTAGTAAAGCTGGCTGCATGACACCAATGATCTTTTTAGCTGTTGATTCTGACCACCACAGTAAGGGGGCATTCTTTCCAATGTATAGGACTTTTTTTACCAACTCACTCCCAATTAATTGGCTTTAGTAGGGGTCCCCTGAGACCTAAAAATGATTTTTAAGGGTTACTCTAGGGCAGAGGTCTCCAAACCTTTTAGACAAAGGGCCAGTTTACTGTTTTTCAGGGTTTCGGGGGGGCTGTGGCCAGTGTGAGTGGAAAGTGTTTCTGCATCAGTGGGAGGAATAGTGCTCCATTATTGGTTTTAAAAGAAGGAATAGTGCCCCATCAACAGTGCTAGTGGGAGGGATAGTGCCCCATTGATGGTGTTAGTGTGAGGAATAGTGCCGCACCATTGGTCTTAGCAGGAGGAATAGTGCCCCATTGATGGTGTCAGTGACAGGAATAGTGCCCCATCATTGGTATCAGTGGGAGGAATAGTGCCCCATTGATGGTGTCAGTGACAGGAATAGTGCCCCATCATAGGTATCAGTGGGAGGAATAGTGCCCCATCATAGGTATCAATGGGAGGAATAGTGCCCCATCATTGGTATCAGTGGGAGGAATAGTGCCCCATCATTGGTATCAGTTGGAGGAATAGTGTCCCATCATTGGTGTCAGTGGGAGGAATAGTGCCCCATCATTGGTGTCAGTGGGAGGAATAGTGCCCCATCATTGGTGTCAGTGGGAGGAATAGTGCCCCATCATTGGTGTCAGTGGGAGGAATAGTGCCCCATCATTGCTGTCAGTCAGTGGGAGGAATAGGGCCCCATCATTGGTATCAGTGGGAGGAATAGGGCCCCATCATTGGTGTCAGTGGGAGGAATAGTGCCCCATCATTGGTGTCAGTGGGAGGAATAGTGCCCCATCATTGCTGTCAGTGGGAGGAATAGGGCCCCATCATTGGTATCAGTGGGAGGAATAGTGTCCCATCATTGGTGTCAGTGGGAGGAATAGTGCCCCATCATTGGTGTCAGTGGGAGGAATAGTGCCCCATCATTGGTATCAGTGGGAGGAATAGTGCCCCATCATTGGTGTCAGTGGGAGGAATAGTGCCCCATCATTGGTATCAGTGGGAGGAATAGTGCCCCATCATTGTGTCAGTGGGAGGAATAGTGCCCCATCAGTGGGAGGAGGAATAGTGCCCCATCATTGGTATCAGTGGGAGGAATAGTGCCCCATCATTGGTGTCAGTGGGAGGAATAGTGCCCCATCATTGGTGTCAGTGGGAGGAATAGTGTTCCAAGGGCTGGACAGATGCAAGCAAAGGGCTGCAGTTTGAAGACCACTGCTCTAGGGTAAAACGGTTGAGAAAGGCAGTTTTAAGGTCATAGTTCTTGCCTGGGGTCCCTCTTTAACATAACAAAGGTCATTCTCCAGCTTCTATGGAATCGATTTATGTTGTGTATGTGAACACATTGTGATGTAGAAGGAACATATTTATCTGCACCTTTCCATTGAGTGTTTTTTAATCTATATAGAGAAATCAGCTCCGCCAGGATTTTATGGATCTTGGCATCCTGAGCTGTTGAATTTGTTACGAAACGGATTGTAAAGCTGTAAACTTGATAGCAGAGATAGTGGCAGCAGGTAAACACCGAGGTCAGCGGTGATGTCAGCGAAGGCGCTGGAGTATTAGGGAAGCATGGTTTGAACATTAATGGACCATTCAGTCTTGTGTGCTGAGGCAGTGTATGTTAATGCTCAGCAACAGACTGATGGGTCCAAAAGTGTCTGCTTGAATCAGACCCAAAACCTTTATGTGTTTGGCTTTGAGAAGAGTGGGTTGTCTCCTCAGATGTCTATCACCCTGGTGGGAATGTCTTCCTCTTATCCAGGTCCTTCTGTGAGAGGCCTGGGCTCTGCTGTGAGCTTAAAGAGACCCTGTCACCATGTGCCAGGACAAGGCCACTTAGCGCCCAGGGCGAGGATGTCAAGCGGCACCTCCCCCAAAAGGTATGAGCATTATGTGTCAACAAAAACCCCTCCATCTAATCTTCTAACTAATCTTCACACTTACCCTCTAGGCCACAGGTGTCAAACACAAGGCCCGCGGGCCGAATCCGGCCCTCCAGGCCATTTCATGTGGCTCTTGTACCTCTCCTGCAGGTACCCCCCTTGTCTCCACCCCCACCTTGTCTCAGCAGTAGGCAGCAGGGAGGAGAATAGAACTTCTCTACCAAACCCTGCACCTCACAGTGCAGCTGCAGCACCCCCTCATCTCTGCCTCCCCTGGTCTCAGCATTCAGCAGACTCTGGTAACTGACTCCCCTCCTCCTCTGGTCCTCCTCCAGACCCTGTACAAGGGTGTGTACGGTGATGTTAAGGAGGGTGTGGGATTCTTGACATCTGATGTAAGGGGGTGGGGTGCTCTGGACATCTAATCTTACAGCAACCATAATGCTGATACGGCCCGCAATGAAATGCAGTTTGACACCCCTGCTCTACTCCCTCTGTACAACGGTCAGTAATACAGCGCCACCTACAGAGAGGAGGGTAAACTGTGCCGTCTGCAAGCCATCATATCTAAGGATTTCTAAGCTCCAATACACTACATTTTAGTTTTTGGGTTTAAGATCACTTTACATTTTATGAACCTGCGAACACAACCTGTGCCACTGGACCGCCCATAACGTTTCTTGCTCTGGACACCTTGTCTTACAGATACAACTGGCCCTCTGAGGGCAACCATAATGCCAATATGGCCCGCAATGAAATGGAGTTTGACACCCCCGCTCTAGGCATAAATTCCCTTTGCAAGCCAAAAATTTTCCCTCCAAAATAATTCCCACTCTTTGAGTCCAAATCCCCCTTCCCAGTGCAAATGCCCTCCCTCCCCAACTCTCCCCCTCCTAGCACAATTCTTCTACCCCTCAAATTTCCCTTCTGAGCATAAATCCTCTCCCCCTATCCAATTGCCCTTCTCCCAGCACAAATCCCCCCCTCCAAACCCCACTCCTAGCACTATTCCACCCCCCCATACATTTTTGCCTCCTAGCACAAATCCCTTCAGTCATTCCAACTAGCATAAATCCTCCCCCTGAAATCCCCCTACCTAACAGAGATCCACTCTCCTTGTACAAATCCTCCTCCCCAAATCCCCCTACCTAACAGAAATCCACTCTCCTTGTACAAATCATCCCCCCAAATCCCCCCAACCTAACAGAGATCCACTTTCCTTGTACAAATCCTCCTCCCCAAATCCCCCTACCTAACAGAAATCCACTCTCCTTGTACAAATCCTCCTCCCCAAATCCCCCTACCTAACAGAAATCCACTCTCCTTGTACAAATCCTCCTCCCCAAATCCCCCTACCTAACAGAAATCCACTCTCCTTGTACAAATCCATCCCCCCCAAATCCCCCTACCTAACAGAAATCCACTCTCCTTGTACAAATCCCCCCCTCTAACAAATCACCCATTCCCTCCAGCACAATCCCCCAAAATCCCAAACTGCTCCCAGAGCAGCTGCCCCTCTTGGCCACCCCTTGTGTCGCCAGACCATCCATTTTAACAATCCTTCTATAAGATGTGCGTGTTTAATATGTTTGAGGCATAATATTTACTTCCTTGTGAGATATTTTATATCTGTGAGACTGATGCTGGGTGCCACCATCTTGGATGTGAGATCAACAGCCCTAGCAGACTCACTAAAGTGACAGTATTCCTCTTCCCTCTTCCCCCCAACAGCTACATAAAAAGTTATGCAGGAAAGTAAGAGGTGGAGGAGCTAGCCCAGCACAGGCAGTAATTAAGCAACCCCAGAGGAGGTGAGGACATTGATGTGCAAGGAGAGAGGGGACTTTGGTAGGGAATTGACTCTCTTGGAGCAGTCAAATGTTCTTACACATTGGAAGTGAAAACAAAATCATTGGAAAGATAAAACACAGCAAGTAGGTATCAGAATACTGGATTTTTCTGTGCTTTACCTAAATTGTTTAAAGATTAAGTTCACCTTTGGGAACATGTTACATGTTACATGTTCCATCTGTTTTTAGGGTGGACTATGCAACATGTTCCCAATGCTGCAGTCACTGCCTGATCCCCCCTTCCTTGTGACAGCAGTACGGGACAAAATTCCCCGCACTAGCTGTCGCTTTTTGGGCCAATGTGACTTTGTATGTACCATACCTGACTGATGCCACCTGGAACTGGAAGCTGGAAATCACTGAACTGTACACTGACACTGCTACTACACTGTTACACTACACTGTTACTACACTGCTACTACACTGTTACTACACTGTTACTACACTGCTACTACTGCTGTTACTACACTGTTACTACACTGTTACTACACTGCTACTACGCTGTTACTACACTGTTACTACACTGTTACTACACTGCTACTGCTACGCTGTTACTACACTGTTACTACACTGTACTACTACACTGTTACTACACTGTTACTACACTGTTACTACACTGTTACTACACTGCTACTACACTGTTACTACACTGTTACTACACTGCTACTACACTGTTACTACACCGCTACTACACCACTACTACACTGCTACTACACCACTACTACACTGCTACTCCAGAGATCTCTGCTTGCTTCCTGGTCCCATGCTGAGTGGCTACCCGGCTGCATTCTGAACGCAGGAGGTTGGCCGCTAGGCACAAGCGCCATTCAGAGAACACTGTTTGCATTTCCCTAATGAGTGCAAAGTGTTATCTCATTGGACGAGGTGGAGAATGTGACGTCACAGCCCCGTCTACCCCACCTCATCCAATCAGGGAACGCTGTGAATTTATTGGGAATATGGAAAGTCCTCTCTGAGTACGACCTCCTTTGCTCAGATTTCAGCAGTCGCTCGGCGTGGGACTCAGAGACCAGTGGAAATGACTGGAGTAGCGGTGTCTTACTGCCGTACTAGGCTGGGGTGCCATTAAAGAAAGCAATGACACTGCAATGTGCATTACCACGCACTGCCAGCAGGTGATACCCAGCCGAAGTTTATTTTTAGTTTTCCCCCAAAACACCGCTCATGAAATATGTTAATATGTAACAGCAACTGTAAACATGGGATAAACGGGAACATACAGAGCACATGCATGATCCAATCAGCGGCAAGCAACACCCCTTCCTGTCCTTTTATCTCAATTAGAATCATGATCGAGCGATTTATTGGTACCGAATCACTCACTGTGTTCATTCATAACTAAACTTTTTTTTTTTGGGGGGAGGGGGGCTGTCAGGTTGGCTTTATGGGGCCCTGTGGTTTATAACAGCAGCCCTGACGGTCGCAGCCAAACTCAGAGACGACAGACTAGAGATTATAAATCTTACCTGCATTCAGCAGCAGCTCCAATATTTCAGTCTATCAGCAGACGGAGGGAAGATTGAGATGTAACACTTGTATCATGAAGTCTGGAAGAAGAAATGTCTTTTATAACATGATCTGATGCACAAATACACTAATATTTGTATAAAAAGTCCCTGATTATATATACAGCAGGAAACGTAAGCGACACGGGAATTACACTTTTCTCATAAAGACAGTCTAAGCAGGACTCTCACAGTGCCCCGTCGTCAGTCTGTAAAGTGCCACTCACCCTCCGAATTCTCTGCATATAGCAGTTTGTTTCCTAATATTTTCAACACATTTGCATAGATTTTAGCAGCCAGTTTAGGGCTGCAGGCTTTAACCTAGCAGATGACCCATTCTAATGAAGGACTATTAGACAGGAGGTTACAGAGGCGCATCGGAAATACTGCTCCATCCAAAACCACCTTCACCTTAAAGGGAATCTGTCATGGGAGAGACATGCTGGCTGCAGTCTGTGGCCTCGCCTTCTGAAAATGCTAGTTCCCTGGCTGTGATTCTCAATGCCCTCTCAATCATTAACCTGGAGCAAGTGTATTAGAAGGATTTTTATCTTTTCTCCAACTTTCACTTGCAGCATGCTTCTCCTGGGTCCGTGACTCTGAATTATTCAAGCCAGTCCAAACCAGACAGCTAGAATTTTTGGAAAGAGACCAGCAATGGCAGCCTGCGGGAGGAATAGCCTGCGGGAGCCTGTGCACTGCACCAAAGATGCGCTGATGCCGATTGCAATGCTCTGCAGGCTCCATTCAAGCAATTAATAAATGCAATTTTTGTCTTTTTTTTGTTCTCCATATGAGTAGATTTATTATTATTTTTT